ATACTATATAATATAATATACATAAGCACATCTATCTACTTTGCTTTTTCAAGAAAGCATTTCTTCATGTAACCTTGGCTGTTCTTGAACCAGCTCTGTAGACAAGGCTGGCCTCAAACTCACTTGCCTTTCACTCTCAAGCGCTAGAATTAAAGGCATGTACCACCACCATCCTACCCAAATCTTCCTTAATGCTAAGCAAGCATTTTACCAGCTGAGCCATATTTCCAGCCTGACTTAGTTTAATTAAAATTTAGTTTCTTTTTAAAATTCCTTTACTATATTGTTATGATAGCTGCTTTTTGTTGCAGTGATAAAACACGTCCCCCAAAAGTCTCTTACTGAAGAATTTACTTTGCCTTCATTTCAAGAAGGATAAGAACTATACTTGCAAGAAAGCATGGTGGCAAAATGTAGATGGAGCAGCAAGAGCAGAGGGATGAAAGATCACACATTCAAATCGCAAACACAAAGCAGAGAGAGGGAATGAAGGTGAATGTAGGCTTTTGATCTCAATGCCTGCTCTCAGTGACAAACTTCCTCCATCAAGTCTGAGCCACCAACCTATGCAAAAACAGTGCCACTAAATGGACAAAGTGACCAAGAATATAAGGGACATATGATGTAAAAACTGTTGCTCATATTCATTGTAAAAGGTAATAGGACTTATGATGACAATTTCTTTGAGATAAATCATGTAATTATTAATCTATAAATAGCATTTTGCATCTTTATAAAATCTGTTGTCTATAAGTTAAGAAAACATCTTTTATATTTCTGATTAGTTTGTTGATATAACAATGTCTACTTGGATATTATTCTTCTTCAAATGCAATTTTTCAGTTTTATTAACCACTGAATTCATATACCACATTTACTTTTAATTATCAGTTGAAAAATGTGTAGATTGTATCCCTTTCATGGTTATTTTGAGTGTGGAAATTATAAACATGGATGGGAAAATATCTTTATGGTATATTTATTTAGAGTCATTTTGTATTATCTCCAGAATTGTGTCATATGGTAGTACTGTTTCAGTTATATAAGGAAAGAACCTTCAACCTGATTTCAATAGAGGTTGAATTAATTGACCAGAATGATGTAAGAATTTTTTCTACATATGCAACAGTTCTTCCTTTTATATATTTTAGTTATTATAGTCATTATCATTAGAAAGAGATCTCAATAGAGAATTAATTTGAATTTATCTGATAGTTAAGAATACTGAATGTTTTTCAAAAGATTTTGGTCACTTTTACTTCAGTTAGAGAAATGTTTCTATATTTCTTTGGGCCACTTATTATATATATATATGAATGCATATATATATGCCACTTTTATATTTTCAGTCTTTACATATTCTAGATATTAACTGTCTGTCAGATGTACAGCTACTAATGATCTTATTCCATGTCATCAATTTTTTTTTCTTTACTGTTAGATATTTCTTAATTTCATGTAGTTCAAATGGTCATTCTTGGTTTTATTTCCAGAGCTGACAGACAGACTTCTTAAAAGAAGGGCTTTACTTATATTGCACATTTCTCCCTATGCTTTCCAATAACAGCTGTAGAGTGTCAGCACATCAATGTCCATAATCTAGCTTGAATGAAGTTTTGTCTGTAGAATTAAAGAAATATCTACTTTCATTTTTAAATGAGTCATTATTCCTGTTTCTGTGAATAATGTTTTCAAATTTTAAGAGGAACTACATTGACGCTAAGATCATTTTTTACAAAATACCTATTTCCACAATGTTAATTCTGCTAATCTAATTTCTTATATCTTGTTCTATTTGTGTTGTCAGTGTTAAAACGTTTTGTTTTGAAATGATTTTACATATTTGAATAGGTTTAATTCTAGATATTTTTGAAATTATCATGAAAATAATGGTTTCCTAGTTTCTTCTCATTTTTTTAAAAATTATTGGTATGTAGAAAGCTAATGATATTTGCATGGTGACTTTGTATCCTGTTGCTATGCAGAAATGTTTTTTTTTCAGTTCTAAGAGTTTACGGTGGAATATTCATGATCTCCTGTGAATGTGACTATGTGTACAATCTGAAAATTGAAATCTTGATACTCAGCTCTTTCACTTGAATCATTTTATTTGTCTCATTTTCTATTTAGAACTTCAAACTTACTGACATTTGGTAGTCGAGACAAGGAGACACACCACTCCAGAGCTATCGATGTTCTTCAACAGAGTCCATCAAGGAAAAGAAAAAAAGAGGAGATCAAACAGTAATGGCTATTTCATTGAACTGAAATTAAATACTTAACAAATAAACAAATTACTAAGGCGGAGGAAAGAGAATATGACAGGTGTGCAGATTGTAGCTATGGTCCATTGCTGGACTTTGGTCAAGAGTGAGTAAGAGTGTGTTTCCAACTCTGGGCATAGTAAAATGTTCAGTTTTATCTTTAAAATGTAAATATTGATAACAATATCTACTATACAATAGTATGTTCATTTTAAAATTATTTTTATAATTCAAGACAAGGAATAGTATACAACGCTTGTTCCTATGTACTCTGGAGATCTTTACTTCTGGTTACTACTTCTGCTACTATTACAGATTTTCAAATGAAAATATTGAAAGCAATACCAATTTCTAGCTAAGATATCAATACTAACACTGAATGATGTCTTATTAAACCAATTAAGACAGTTTAGCTTTAATATGACCTTGTTTATACTCTGAGAACCCATTAGTTTTATTTTTCTTATTTTGCACATATTGTAGTCCTGTTTTAATGTTCTTTGAATGTTTGTGTATACAGTATGGTTAATTAACACAAAAAGGTTCTGCAGCATATCACAGGTCTTAACATTAGTAGCAAATTGATAAAATCAAAGCTGCACTGTAATTGAGCAAACTAACTTATCTGATATCTATATTGCTATGAAGTTATGTTGAATAACTACAAGATAGTCTTTTTATTAAAAGTATAATGAGCTTATCATATAAATTATAAGTTTTACATTTCATATTTTGCAAAATTTATAACCAGGGGATGCATATTTTTAATATAGACACCTATATGACTGCACAAGTTATCATATATTTTGTTATTAAAAGTTTCAACAAATCTTTATAATGTTCTTCCTAATTGAAGTACTGAATAAACAGAAAGGGATGGAAAATACCCCCAGAAATAGATTGCATAATGCTTTATTAACCTTGAATTTTCTTAATGCTAATGAGAATGGAACAACAGGAGCAGAGAGGCATTGGGTAATGGAAAAAACTTCTGAATTGAATCAACCAGTATACTTCAAGGATTTGTTGACATCCTAATGGAAACCAGGAGTTGTTTTACATTTGGGAAGGAGTTTTGCTCTTGTTTCCACAGGAGAAGGAAAATTATGGATACCATCAAAATTAATAAAGATACACTTTAAAAAGGAGAAACCACTTGAAAAAGAGAAATGACAGCTTGTCCACAATGGTAACAATCCTACAGGAGGTAAGGAAACTTCATAAGGGTTTGGGCAGGATTCTCCTCTTATCTTTACAGAAAAATACACATCATCAAAAAATCAAGAGATCCTGGGTATTTGAATGCTGACAGAAGGAAGAATAACTATCTACTAAGAATCATCTTGAAAATGAAATATGGATTATGAGGCCAGGTACTGGATATACATGCATTTACACACACACACACACACACACACATACACACATACAC